CACTCTGTCGCCCAGGCTGGAGTGCAGTGGCGTGATCTTTGCTCACTGCAAGCTCCGCCTCCCGGGTTCACACCATTCTCCCGCCTCAGCCTCCCGAGAAGCTGGGACTACAGGTGCCCGCCACCACGCCCGACTAATTTTTTGTATTTTTAGTAGAGACGGGGTTTCACTGTGTTAGCCAGGATGGTCTCGATCTCCTGACCTTGTGATCCACCCACTTTGGGTGTGATCCACCCCCAAAGTGCTGGGATTACAGGCATGAGCCACCATGCCCGGCCAACAAAGAATATTTTTATCAACTCCCAAGTAGTTGGAATTACAGGCATATGTCACCTTGTCTGGCTTGATTTTTATACAGCCGTATCTGTCATTTTCCATTTTTTTTTTTCTTTTTGAGAAATAGCCTTGCTCTGTCACCCAGGCTGGAGTGCAGTGGCACAATCATGGCTCACTGCAGCCTTGACCTCCCAGGTTCAAGTGATCCTCCCACCTCAGCCTCCTGAGTAGCTGGGATGACAGGCACATGCCACCATGCTTGGCTAATTTTTAAATTTTTATAGAGATGGAATCTCACTATGTTGCCCAGGCTCCTGGGCTCAAGCAGTCCTCCCACCTCTGACCCCCAAAGTGCTAGGTTTCCAGGCATGAGCCACCACACCCAACTTCATCTTCTTTTATAGCTTCTGGGTTATATATCTTGCTTAGGATGGTTTACTCCACCATCCCAAGCAAGGCAGAAGGATCGCTTGAGCCCAGGAGCTCGAGGTCTGCCTGAACAACATACTGAGACTTTGTCTCTAAAAAAATTTAAATAAAATTTAAAAATTTAAAACCTATATACACAATTTATATAGAATGTAAATGTACAAAATTTACATTGTAAATAAGGTAAAAAAGATAAACAGATTGGGAATAATGTATATAGCAAATAATAACTTACATAGCAAAGAATTACACAGCTAGATTTATGAAGCTCTCCTACAAATGAACAAGAGAAAGAAAGACAACCTACTAGAAAATGGGCAAGGGACACAAATAGGCTAGAAATAAAAATGTACTGGGGGGCTGGGTGTGGTGGCTCATGCCTGCAATTCCAGCACTTTTGGAGGCCAAGGCGGGTGGATCCTCTGAGGCCAGGAGTTGGAGACCAGCCTACCCAACATGGCGAAACCCTGTCTCTATTAAAAATACAAAATTAGCTGGGTGTGGTGGCGTGCGCCTGCAAACCCAGCTACTCGGGAGGCTGAGGCAGAATTGCTTGAACTTGGGAGGCGGACGTTGCAGTGAGCCAAGACTGCCCCACTGCACTCCAGCCTGGGCAACAAGAGCAAAACCCTGTCTAAAAAAAAAAGAAAAGAAGAATAACAAAAGAAGTATAACCCTAATTGTACCAAGTATCTAAACTGGCAAGGCTCAAAACTGAACTCATTATTTCATTCAATTAATATCTGAGCACCTACTAAGTGCCAGGCACTGTGCCAGTTCCTGGCACAAAGATGTCAACCTTGAACTTGAAAGGTGTGTGTTTGTGGATCTGCAAATGTATAAGGTTCTGGTTTATATGTCATATTAAGCACTAATAAGAGCCAGTCACTAAACTAAGAAGTTTATATACTTTACCAAACTATCATTCAATTAATATTTACTGAGCACTTGTTTTTTGACACTGCACTATTTTTGTCTATAGAAAGACAAACAGGCCGGGCACAGTGGCTCATGCCTGTAATCCCAGC